TTCGTTGGATAAGCATTTTGGAAAAAACGACAAGTTACAAAAAGCTTATTGACGTGCAAGTTGACAGATTGTGCTCCTGAAGAGGCGATTGACATCATTTTGCACTCCTAAGAATGTCAGATAATCATGTTGTAAGAATATGGTTGATACAGCTTAACCAAATAAACTCATGCGGCCTCTTATAATAGGAAATAAGTAGCTAAAAAACTTTAGAATCTCATTCATTGAAGTAATCATCACTACAAGGTATAATTCTTTCCCGAGGAGGCACAAGCTTGCAAGCCTAGCCAAATGCCCATTTCGTATGCGACAGCCAAATGCCAAGGCGATAGCCATCAGTAGGAGATATCGAGGGTATAAAAAAGATGACCAGGTAGCTTCTCCATCTGTCCTACCCTAAAGTGCAAATCTTCTGACAGGTAAGTTTCGCGATATAGAGTTTTATGTTATCTTGTAAGGATAGGCCTCCCTTCACACAGTCGGACCAATCACGGCTGTTTCGCAAGAAGAAGTTTTCATACACACCTCCGAGTTGCATATTTCTCAGAAAAAACTCACAATGAACAACCTTGTTTATAGCTCATCGCATACAAAGTAGGCGTAGCCTACTACAGATGAATTGATGTTTTGAAGGCGTTAGACAGTGGATCTGTTGGAGGCAACCAATGATTTGTTCGTTTGCTTAACATTTCGGTAAAAATGATAGGCTTCATCCCAATTCATGCAGTAAACATTCTAAAAACGGCGCATTTCTATGAAGTATGTGACCGAAATAATGAAAAGTTGGTAGCTTTTTAGAGTTATTGCCGTTTGCTGACCCATAAGACATCTACGCGTGCAAACGAATTGTTTAATCACGCACGTCAAACCGCAGCAAAAGCTCAGCGGAGAAAAAAGCCTTCATTATCAGGAATATTTTAGTGAGTCATCATCAGCTTGATGCATTTTTGACTAGTAATTCAGTAATTTCAGGCCTAAACGTCCTACTACCACATATCGTTCCTTCTTCAAGTTTTACTAGAGACTTATGCTTCATTGAGCAGACAAACTCGAGTTACATCAGATTCAACCGACATTTAATTACACAAGGTTCCAAAATAGTAGGAGGCATACCTATGCCCTGTGACGCAAATGGGCAATCGCAAATTATAGGTCCCTACAGGTTACAACAAATATCATGTACCGAAATATGATGCAAAGGGCGCAAATCATTACAAACGCAACAATTAAATATCTTCCACTAGAAATTATTCAAGGAAATACCCTAGTCATTGTTCGGCAACAGGAGTGGAATTAATTTGTGATCCAAGTAAAAAAATGGAAGTCTTGTCAGCAAGAAGGACGTTGCGAATAAGGGGAGGTACTTAGGGTTTAAAAATAAAAATTTGAAGAACTTAATCAAATTGCAAAGGACCACCGCAAAAAATTCCAAGAAAGAGTAATCAAACGCTTTTAAAAAGAGAGTCGCCCCAAAGAAATGCAGTTGTTTATGGGTAAAAGTGGTTGTTATACGTGGCAAAAACGTGGGAACTGTGCCGGATGTAGAGGAATGAGTTCATTAGCCCATTTTTGGCAAATGAAAAGTGAAAACGGGTATATTCGTTTAAAAAGTAAATCCGTCAATGCAGCCTAACGGTGCACGGGGACAAAACACCAGACAGGAAAGAAATGTAGCAAGACGGACAACAATTTTTGCTCTGAATGAAATTGTAAAGCACGATACTGTGCGAAATAAGCATGAGGCAAGAGATAGCAATTTAGGGTTTAAAAGCCGTTGTAGTACGTTTAAATCGAGATAAATTTAGCGGAGAAAAGACTAGTGATTGAATTTAGAGAAAGGACTTTTTGGAACAGAACGCAGTTCAGCAATATAAAACCTTAGAGATCCAAAATGGAGGCAAAACAAGCCTCTGATATCAGTGAAGGGTTTTGAAAAAAGCAATTAGACTAACATGTAAGCTGTGCTGATAAATTTAATGAAGAATCTAAGACACACTAATAGCTTAGGCCCCTGATGATGACTTGCCATTAGCACGAAAAAAGGCCATTTAATTAAGCAATGATAAGACTTGAAGTCCAGATACCATCATTGGTCTATCTCAGGAACAAGAATGCCCACAGAAAATCACAGCATACTTTTAGCGTGCAGTGCGATTCAATTTAGCTCAATGCAAAACCAAATTGCATGTAACAGGCATGCAGAAGGTTTCATAGAAAGTATATCTTGGTCAAAATGACTGAGTCCTTATCCACCTCATTTTTCGAAATCAATCTGTACGTGGGACTAGGACAATTTCCAGGGTTAGAAGCAGTTTGAATTGAATCAAGGTATGGACGAAAATCACAAATAAGAAGGAATGTAAGACTGTGTTTACATAAAACCGAAGTAAGCCATAGAAAAGTAATAGACCTTTGGTAATGCTTGACACGCACTTCAAAAAAGCAGTCATCGTATGAGATACAAGCCTAAACGTAGTGGACAAACTGGCGGCCATCATCAAAGTAATGCTCGAAAAGGGTGTTCATTTTAGTTTACACACGTCACTGTGACAAATTAACACACAAATTGCACGACTTCAAAAATGTCGTATTTTGGATCACTTGTAATGAGATCCCAAAACAATGAGCAGGAACAGAGTTCCCAATTTATACACCACTATTCGTAGGACTTTAGAAATTTACTTGACACTTCACCAAACCCTCATTAGGTCAAAAGATTAATAACGGTTGGTTAACATCGCCGTCATTTCTTCCAGGGGAATCCAATATTACCAGAAAGTGGACGCAAACTATGAGTAGAGGGAAGGGACTACATTGCAAAGTGGCGATCATGATTACAAACTACTGCGAAACAAATTAGCTGCAACCCAAAATTGTGGATTTTAAATGACAAGTCCAGTTCATTTACTTGCCGAAACCCCGAGGTATTACTTGAAGAGACACTGGTTCCATGGAGGTTTCGACGACAGGCGAGAATCGGTGTAATTTCAAGGAGAATCGTAGACCACGGCAGCAGAATGTTGATTCTCCCATTCCACTTTTTGGTGGTCTCGAGTAGTTCAGCGCACAGTTAACTTACAGTTATACATTGTAGCCACACTTAAGGTACTCGCTATCGGTGTCATACATACGACGCCTTCATTTTCTTATCTGAGCCCAGCGTCACAAATATGTGGGGTATTATTTAAAAACTCACAAAAAGCTACTGCGCCCACTGTGTCTTGGAGATGGTAGTTGATTTCCTAACAAGAAAATAAATGCAGGATGCTCTCAGTCAGAGAACAATCACATTCTTCTAGGTTTGAGCAGCAGCCGAATTGGCCGGTTTCTCAGTACAGTCGCAGTGTATTGTAGCCCACATGTGCGGATGGATGTTTCAAGGTCCATTGTAAAAATAGAAGCGTGCATTATACCGTTTCTCCAATCCGCCCCATTTCATTTCCTTTGAACTCAATGTCGCATACGTTTACCGTATGTTATAAATAAACTCTGCAGAAATTAAGGGCAGTGTCACGTTAGACCACCAAAGTATCCTAAATTTGGTGCTTGGCGTTCCCCTAAGACGCTGATCCTAGTCGAGAAGGCGGAGAAGGACCTTATTGCCTGCTACAAGATTGACTTTAAATGCAGCACATTGCATTTACCTTTCAACTAAGTGGATCCACACGAACTCCATTCTCTTTTTAACTATTGATGGATTAAAGGCACTGCATTAGTGAACGAAATATGTGGGTGGTATGTACCAAACGACAGTGGAAGTAAGGTATCGTCAAGGCACTCGCACACACTGACGTACTTTGCTGTAAAAGTACAATTCAACTCTTGATTAGAAGCAAATGTCATAACTAGGAGGAATGCCTGACATTTTTACGTGCACAAGGTGTTCCTGCTAAAACGCCATCTGCACGAAGTACAGCGGATACATACTTTGAAAGGAGTTAAAAATCTCCATAGTAGATGTTTGTATTCTTTAAGACATAAGCAGAACTGCGCAAGACAACGCACTTTGGGAGGCCTTGGCTCACCATAACTATAACTTCTTCCATGTGACCAGACTGTTTACTCAAAGCTTTCCACGAAGTTAGAGGTTGTGTTTGGTTGTGTCAGTTTTTGCGAAGTGCATGGGCCCATGACGAGTGAGAGGACAAGGCAAGACTTCTACAGAGGTCGCATTCAGCTTGTCACTTCATTGAGAGGGTACTGTCAATTGACACCTGCAATTGCGTATGTGTTAAGCGAAATCAGAAAAACTCAAATATCCTGCTTCATCTACCTGAAGAGACTTCATCAATGAAGAGGTGAGAATAAGGCGGTACGGCAACAACAAACTCACGGCAGTACGCTGGCAATCACATCAAATTACAGATGAAATGATGGTGAAACGATATGTATTGGGATGGCTATCTAGCCAAGCGGGGTCTTCAATCGCCACAGATTGCACCACCATCTTGGTGGCGCAGACTCTCGACCCCACCTTTCATTTCCGGGCCCCTTTTGCACTCCAAATCTGCTAATAATCCGTTCTTTTACACGGGTAGGCCTTATCACGTCCTCTGGGGCCACAATACCAACTGTTTTGAAGAATTTAATGAATGGAATCAGGACGTTATGACCAAAGAAAGGGGAAAATAAATTTTGCGAATCTTGAAGAAACTAAATTCCCTTTTGTTAAATGGGAAAGAATATTCCAAGAACTTAAAGGGATAGCATTAACAAGCATCCATCATTCCATACAAATTTTGGAGTAAAGAAGAGAAACGTGGTTCTTATCTAGAAGAAATAGCCCGGATAGAGATGATAGATCATCTAAAACTTGGCAGATGTTTCTCCAATTGGAAATACTTTTTTTCAGAAAATTGATCGTAGTAGAAATATACTTTCTTCCAACTAAATTTTGCTTGTCCTCCTATGGAGATGTGGAAAAACAAGCAATTTGAAAGGTCCATCATGCGGGTGGCCATAAAATACGAAGTGCCGTAAACAGTGAACGACTATTTAACTTAGAGAAAATATGAAAGAGCAGGAATAAAACATGTAGAGGTCGATGTTTTACGGAGAGAGAACGCAATAACCCACACGCTCAAATAATGCCTTAAATCTTCATCCCTTTCAATCTGATAATATCACAAATCACAGTAAAGCCTAAAAGGTTGACTTAGCACTGCTTTAATAAATGTGGACAATAAATATGAGTCTATCAAAATCTAACACTAGAAAACGTTTTGATAAAAAGAAAATTACAAAACGATTCCATTGCTAATCACCGCGTGCTGTGTATACTTCAATTTCAGTGGCCTGAGCGTAAATAGGGAAAATAAAACCATTTCCACTCTGCAATAAATCAACTTTTATTAAAGCATTTTCCAAGTTCCGCATTTCGTAGAAGCGTGTAATTTAAATATCGCAAATTAAACTCACTTCAAACCTGCAGACTGAAAATGAACACGTGCTGCAGCGGCTTGACTGGAAACTTCACGGTAAAAGTCTATTGGAGATTCACCTATTGAAGGAAATAAAATGATTACTGACGGAATGACCTTCAGGTCACACCTCCAGCTGATCTAAATTATGTCTACCTTTTGGGATCGTGATAGGATTCCAAGACATAAGTCAATTCGTGTACTAATTCACAGACCAAAATTTCCATGCGGGTGTCGTCATTCTGCGTCTTCAAGACAGAATTAGGAGCACGGGAAGAAAGCGCAAGGAATTGGTATAGCATCGATACTTATTTACTAACCCAAATAAGTAGAATATATTTTTCATCTCACCGGCTAAGTTCATTCTGGAAAACAGCATTTGAGAGTCCCTTTGCTTCAACACGACTTCTTCAGGCAATCGGATCCAGGACACACTGTGCCGAGGTAGGAGACGACAGAGCACTTCGACAATGCCTTAAAGGTAATGCAATAATTCCCTAATTTTTGCTCCGATTACAATGAGATGACAACTGACAACCAGCAGACCTGGCAAAACATGACAGTGCTGATGTCCATCAACTCGTAGAGGCGATACACCAAACAATTTTTCGAACTTTATTATTTGCCGCTCAATTTCGATTTCAACGTGCCATAAGTGTACCGTCTGCAAGTTCCTCCGCAAATTCGCCTTTCCATAAAATAGACCCGTCCCGTCTTCTAGAAGAGAGCTTATAGATCCTTTGGTACTTAATGGCTCCCCCTCTGAAAGGTTGATATGCAAGCCTGAGAGAGAAAAATTGATAAGCTTCAAAAAAATGCCCAAAATGAAGAAACCTTTTATTCGATTGGAACTCAACCAAAGTAAATCACTAGACGATATTCATACTAAAGCATCGATTCAACTATAAATTAATCAAGGAATGAATCGAAAGAAAATACTGTTAGTGGTGCTCATTATTCGTCATAATTTTAAGCACAAATGAAAGTATCACTTACCAAACCTTATTTAGACAGATTAGAACTAGAAAGATCCTAAGACCACTCTTAAATATTATTTTTCAAGAAGTGAACAAACACTGCTTTCGCAACCTAAGTTGAACCACACTCCATTTCACTTCTGAGTGAAATAAGTGCTTCAAAATTTAGAAAGAAAAAAAACTGAACCAGGAAGGGCGGCTTCCTGCATGCAGTAGTTGAGGAGTACAGAGGTAGCGGGCGTGGTGGAAGAGCGCACAACACCGCCATTCATCAATACGGAGACGTCGGTGACAGCTCCATGCTTCCAGCATTCGACCAGGGCCACATCTCTCCGGTCAGCATAAAAACCGTCGTCAGCAACAATGGCCAATTGGGATGTCTGCAAAGAGCGAGACACGAAACTGAGTCTCTGTGCTTATGACGACAAACGTCAAGTTATTCAACATTTAAATGCAATCATTCACAAGCAGTACCACAGAAGTGAAAGAATGAAAATTCGATTGTAAAATAGCGCAAATAAACAGAATATTCACAGCATAGGTAAATCTCTATAACTAGTCCGTGGAGTCAGGTAATCATCTAGAAATCAATCCTGTAGGGGAAGCAGGAAGCAACACACTCAAAAAACGCAGTAAGAGAAACTGGAAAGAAAAGCGCCAACTTGATTAGCGTTGGACCTAACGAGTGTTTCCATAGCATGTGTAAAATACTCAAGTACCAAAACACACCTTATGTGAACGAAATTTTGTGATGATGGATTAATGCATTGAAATTACTGCAGAGAACTTATTGGCTGTTTTCTTATAATAAGGATCTAGAAGCTACGTGAAGACTTTATTGTCACAGAGAGATGATAGCTGATTCCTCTGCTTCGGTTGATGTAACAGCACACAAATCTAACTACTCCATGCAAGGTCGAACGATAATTGGTTCAGTAAGCGTTTGATTTGCTACCAAACGATACCCAAAAAATGGGAATTCTAAGGTTAGGCTAAGAAACCCTTGTCATCTGTTAATTAGTATAGGTTTATGCAACACAAATAAGGAACAAAATTAGTGCATTTTCGACTCTTAACTGCGCTTTTGTCATATGATTACCATGCAAGCATGGAGGTTAATTTCCTTTAACAAAATTTAAAGCCATTTTTACATAATGGCATGATGAATTATAACCCAGATATGCGCATTTGCCAATCCCGATTATTTTATGGTGATTTAGATCTGGAATCTTCATGCTCATGGTGTTGATTATCGGGCGAGAATACTAGTGGGTTAGTTGTGTGTTTAATTCGCTGTTTTGGTAACAAGTCGCTTAGGGACTCCGCCATTATACCTGCGGCGAGTGGTCTGGCCTCAGGATACATCAGTAGTCCCAAACCCTTAGTACGCTGACAACACATTTTCCCAGCTGGTATTATGTCTTCTTTCGTCTTCAGGAGAGTTTTGAAGTGCTAGAAATAAATTGCTGTCTTAGATAAGTTCTCACTGTGAGTTCCCTCCCGCATAGCATGTCATATCGCCAACAAGTGCTGCAAGAATCTAACACTTAAACACCAATCGGTCTAATGTTTTTACGAGGCGAAAGTAGCGCCCCGAGCAGAATATATGTCTAGCATACAGAAGGAGTTGAGACTACTTGCGTGACTCAAAGGCCTACCTACATGACGAAGGTACAATAGCCGAGACACAAAGTGGCCCTTTACCCAAACCGAGAGTTAAACAACCGATGCATTGCACACAATTTGCTTGCATGTGCTTGCACAATGATACAATGTGATTACGCCTTTTTAATTTTGTTGTATAGATGCACTGACCTGGGTTTTCCCTGAAGTCGTATCGTTAAATCACGCTACTAGCGTGGACCAACAGCCATGCCACAGAGCAAAAGTAAAACCGCCAGCTACTGCATTCAAAAATACACTTAAACAGAATCCTGGCTTGCTACAAGTATGTTTTTTGCACCCGGCTCTAGAAGGCTTTTTGAATTTCTACGCTTACTTGTAACGGCACTTCAGTCCACCGCTAACTCTACGGTTTACCTCAGAGACATATTTACCAAGAGGTTTTTCTGCTACCTCAGGATGTTTGAAAAACACAGTTACATTTAAAGCAGTGAAATGATTAAAGTCATGCAAGGAAAGCTGAGTTTTGTTGAACAAGTCAGTTAAGTTTTTCCTGCAAAAGTACTTCTCTACTAAGTTGACCTTGTTCGAGCACTGCGGATGGACGCATCCGCCGTAAGCATTTAATGGACGCTACCATTATGGTGACAGGTTTCATTTTTAAGACAAAATAAATTTCAAAATTATGTGATTATTGATTTTTCTGACAGTTTTTAACATCGGACTGCTTAGCACACTGGTGTGGTATTTTGAAATATATTTAAGCATTTATAACTTACCTTTGCAAGCAGATTGTGGGCGAATACTTCGTCACCTCCTCCTGATCTACGCTTTAATATGAATAGGAACAATAATGATTTGAGTACACTGTTTTCGCAGATTATCGGAGCCTCAGGGATTCTCACAAAAGCATTGCCAAGGCTTGGCGTGACGATGAAGTTAACAGACAAGAAACTAGAAAAAGAGGTAGGATGATGTACTGCTTTTAAGAGAGGATTGAAACTTTCCGACAGATCATTAAAAAATATAAAATTCTAAAATAACGATGTCTTCAGCATTACTATTCAATTCAAACTACGTCACTTAAAATTTACCGATTACAAGTTTATTTTCCACAATAAAGTTACACGTGAACCAAGTTTTGTAACCCGCTAGATGAGATTTATTAATTGTGAGTGTTTGTAATTTGAAAGGTAGCGCGGTGTGCCAACCACGACAATACTAAGCACTTACTCCAAGTGGAGAAATATGACTTGAAAGAAGACATAACTCTTTCAAGTGGAGCTGCAGGTATCGCCAAAATTAAGAATCCACTTTGTGATACTGATCCAATTGAAACTGTCAGGATTGAGGTGGATCTAGGCCTGCTTCTTGAGCAGTGCATCAAATCCACAGAAATCGCGCGAAATTGCATCAGTACAGCAGAAACTATGGAATCCTCAACCAAAGAACTAGGGACGTCTGGGGATTTACTTCATGTTGACGGTAAGTTCAAATCCTATTATTAGGATGAGTTGAAATTAAGTTATTACTCACTAGAACCACTCAAATAATCCCATAGAAGTGACCGTTCGCCCTAAAAAATTTTTCAGGTTCGCAAAATTAGCCATAAAAGTCAGTTAATAAAAAGTAGAAACTTAATTTTAGAGAGCCTCAATGAAGTGATTTTACGTGCGGACCAATTATTCAAAATTTATGCAGGCCTGATCGGCACCATTCAGGCGCTAAAAGCCAGCGAAACTGTGCTCGATAATGTCCCTCAAGAGGATGGACCGAAGGCTACTTCCACAAACGAGCGTTGTTTACCCTCACCAATATGCAATGATCACTCTCCATTATTTGCACCAGTTGTAACTGAAATCCATGAGGAGGGATTTCTTCAGTCCCTTTGTGGGTTTGCGGAACGGAAATGCATCTTTTGTGCCACTTACGTGTTTCGATCACAATGTCTGGCCAGTGTGCGCACCATTTACATCACCTTGCCCCACTCTCCACAGATCACATTTCCTACAAAGCTGAAATCAATGGTAGAACTTGATAGACTGTCAGCGGGAGATCCTTCAGAAACAGAACCGTCTCGCAGATGGTGGGAAGGAGCAAAGAACCCCTGGATTCTACCAAACAATGTGTCAAGACTTGTGCAGTCGAATCGCTCTATGGGAACTTTTAGATTGAGGAAAAGATTAGCGAATGCGTTAAGTAAATTAGTAACTCCTCGGCGTCGTGCGACCAGCGGGTCAGCAGGAGACTGTGAAGAATTGAAGCTTGACATTGGCTTCTCGCTGGATGCACTTGCGGGAAGCGAGTATATTCAATTTGTGGAGGCCGACCTTGATAGTTCCATGTATTGGTATGCAAATGCTGGAACAACTGTGGAATGCTTGCAGCAGAAATCTAAAAAATCTAGCTCCGGCTGCAGAGGAAGCAAAGTAAAGTTGTCTTTAAGACGCCATAAAGTGGAAAAATTTAAAAGGCACTGGAAAAATGACTTCCCCTCCAGACTCAATGATAATGACTCGCTTTTACAAAATAGCAATGAACCCGAATGCAAAGTAAACGTAGGATCCTCGATACCAAAAATGAGCAATAGTCCTAGGAAGGGAAAATCACTGCTAACTTTATGGAAGGCAAGAAGAAATAGCTATAAAAGGAGCCCTGAAAACTCGTTAATAGTGGGCTCTCCATCGGTGAAGCCGAGTGATAGTCCCCGTTGGAATCAGGGTATAAATGGACAAAAAAAACACGCACAACTGGTGGAATCGGACGTGCAAGCACAGAGCGGTTCTCACGGCAAGTTCTTTCAGAAGAAGGTCACATCAACAAACTCCATGCCAAGGGCTGAGGGCTCGTTTGGTCGAGAGGATGTCAAAAGAGAACGCAAAGGCTGCTTCATTTGTGGCTACCAAAGACAATTGGAGACCTCAAATAACATTCATCTCTTGAAAGCTGATGCGAGAAAGCCAAGTTTCTTGCGAAATACTGCCAACAATGCAAAATACCAAATTAGAATGCCTGAGAGAATGAAGCATGTGAGGCGAAAGTATGGTACACCGGATGATGCAAGTGAAAAAGCCAGCGTGGAACGATAACCAAGGACTCAAAGGCACGCCATGATTCAAATGTATCTCACTATCAAATGAGATAAACCAAAATCAGGTCGTCGTTATGGTAATTTACATTTCAGCTTCCTTGCAAGGCATCTGCACGAACGACCACAAATCCAATTCGTGTACCTAAACAACCACAGTTAAGTCCTATTTATACCACTTGCGTGTTTCACATAGCTGATGCTATCCAACCAATCCAAAAATAATAGAAGCCTAATTTCAAATCTTGTATCCTAAACACCTGTTTTAAAGATCTTAATGTTCCATCAGATCAAAAAATGTGTAACTATGCAGCAACTTTGATTAACAGAGCTGCTAAGTTATGGAAAACATCCCGCTTACAATAAGCAACATTCAATAGAATTGTAATAGCTCTGATGCTTCTCCCTCCTACCTGAGTGGGGAAAAATGGTTTGTAGACCACAGCATGTATTGATGGAACGTAGGATTATACAAGCGGTCTAAGTTTAATGGGGAATTGGGTGTCACCTCCACAAAGATCTAAGAGTTCTCTCAATCACAAGATTAGTCAAATTGGCCCACTTGCTACCTCAAGGACCTATTCAAAAAGCCGCATAGTGCATGGTCTCACCGTCGCTCTGCTCTCTTCATCTTCACACACCATTTTTGATAAATCATTTTCCTCTTTTAGCATGTAGGTTCCATCCTCATATTCAACAGATGGTGTGACTTTATGAGGAAGTATTTTATTATGATGTGCCATGAGTGATTGGGCTCTGATCCGTGCATTGCAGATTAAACAATTTGTTGAGTGTATTATCTTATCACTCAAAGCGCATCTTCGTTCCAACACTGATTAAATTTGCGGCATGCCTTGAGGAGCAGAAGGAGGCCTGTAGAGCTGCAATAGATTTCCCTTCTGATAGGCATCATGTTGGCTGCGCTTGCCTTTTGTCCGGCACACGATAAGCTTAGAGGTTTGGGAACGAGGTTGAGAATCGGTGTTATGCTTCAGTCGCAGCATGTACTCTGGAGCGTTGTGATTCGTTGCTTTAACGTTGGCAAAAAATTGTCAGCCAACACTGCCATTTTAATATATGAAATGGCGATGGATGTATGGACTGTATCTTTATGATCCAGGAGACGCCAGCCTGTCTAGGCAAGAATGCCAACTCTGCGGTCATGGGCCCTTAGTGAAAACCTAGAGCAGTTCTATTCGCTCGTTCTACTCGTCCACGTCCCTGTGGATGACCAACTTTCATGCCCGTCTTTAAGAATTCGAAAGTTCCATTTGATTCCGTAGAAACTTGACTAAAAGTCAGCACTTCGAGGACTATTCGCAGGTACGTGAACCGTGTTAACAATTCCACTGGTTAAGTCTACTCCAACGTTCTGAATCTTCGAGAATTCCGTCTCTGTGCCTTTCGCCAGATTATCTGCTACAGGTTATCCAGGTCCGACAGAGTGATCGCTGCATGATAGAGTCCAAAAGTTGTCGTCTGGCATTCGTAAAACACCTTGGATACTATAAAAGCTGTCTTTTCACGAATTGTTTTCGCCATCGTTACTTGCCAATACTAAGATCTCATATTCAATTCGGGGAACAACATTTACCCGTGTGGAAAGTCTAACAAATAAATTGTGTGAGGTAAGGACAAAACCTCGTTCTTTGTTACCTTGTTTAGTTCCCTATAACCAACGTATGGCAGAAGACTTCCGTCTTTTATCATTAGAGCAACCGCCGAGACTCATGATGACTTTGGAGACTTTGGGACTCCGTCTATGTGCACCTCATCCATCAGATTACCTGTTTTGGCAGAGTAGGTAGCGTAGATCTGGGTGGCTGCCAGATCAGTCTGGTCTCTCCAGCACTTGTAGTGCTTTACCGTACTTGTTCACCCCATTGTAAACCCTTGTCGTTATAATATAGTCGTGTGCCAAATCAGCCACTTCAAAGTTTTGTTCTTTCGTTGTTGATGACGTGACTAGGTAGTGAAAAAAGGATGTCTAGGACGTTGATAGCTACTATTACGATTTTGAATAAAACATTAGAGATATCGACGACACATGGCTTTAATAACCTGGTGGGTAGAGAAAATAATTTCTTCAAGATTCAGCTGTAATTGTTGAAACGCATAGTTGCAGTCAACTCCTGTCGTTTCTTCACTACCAACTTCACCAATACACGATGCCGGCCAGTGTCCACACCGCAGACTTTGTCGACCGCGGTGTTGAGGCGAACTCCCCGTCCGATCTTGACTATTGTTCATCCCTTGACTCTGAGCTTGTAGACTCCTTGAATGATTCCTGTCTGCTTCAGGTTTTAATCGCGATGTTTGAAGTCCCGACTGCTACCCGCTCTTTCTGCAAAATGATGAGTGGGGCTAATGTGGAGCAGTATTTCTCAAAGTTAGAACACAAATTTAAGGGGAGTGCACACATCAAGTAATCTGTTTCTTGTCAGCGGAAATACAACCAGAACCTAAATATCTTGTGCGTATTCGTCGCAAAGGAAGGAATAGTCGTCGTTGTCACCAGAGCATTTGTGTTACTAATATTTTCTTCTGCTTCCGACCTAGGAATTTTTGATTAAGGCGATTGTTTCATGTAAGACGTTACACATTGTTGTGTAGTACTTTAATAGTTCGTTTAATTCCCTAGGCCCTCCGCCATTGTACTCTTACTGGGCAGTCTCGCCTCTAAGCCATGCCATCAGACCCCAAGCACATCTGTAGGTCAATAGTACGTGTACTCCTAGAGTAGTATCCCTCCTTACGTCTTCAGGGAAGTCTAGGAATGCTCCATCTGATGTTGGAGAATGCAAACGGTCTAAGTGTTATGCGGAAATTGCATTTGCCTCCATTCTAGAGACCGATAGATCTCCACCTACCATACAAGCAAGTACGTGCAAGGGCATGGTTAATGGTAATGATACTTGATCAATGCGCAAGCTAAAGTAAAAAGTATGATGCCTTTCTTCCAAATTTAGTAGCTTTTATTAGATTAGTCTGAGCAACTAAAGTGGGAGGAGGTGGAACAATAAAAAGAGCAGTATTGCAAAAATTCGAAGAACATTTTTTTCCTGATTTAGCATAATATGAATCACACAAAGCGCTTATAGTGGAGCATTTCATGACCTAAACGGTTGATGAATCCAGGTTAATCAAGTAAAAGGGACAACCTACTAATTTCAAGTCAAGTGAGCTTTGATGCAAAAAAGATGACAACTGTACAGCACCGCTCATTCCAGCATAGAACAAAACTATAAAACAAATGTAATCCAGTCAGCCCATTAAAGGAATTTTTAAAACCTAGATGTAATATACCCTAGTAAATCATCCAACAGTTTTAAAACCAACAAAAATCTTGCATCGCTATAATATGGGCACTTTGCTTTTGCAGACAGGTTTACTTTTGGCTTTATTAATATTCGCGAGTTTAAAATGTGTTTGAGTTATTTGTGGTGACATGCGACTTTTCGAAAATCATCGGCTCGCCAACCAGCGTGTAAAGCTTGAGGCGACCATGCCAAAAAAGAAATATCTCGGACGGGCTCTAGTTCGTCAAAATAAACGCAAGGATAGGCGACCTTTTGTAAATGTCCAACAATGCTTCTTTGATTTTTCTTCTAGAACTATGCTAACCCTGAAGACTCCCCTGATTGGTGTCATCTTCCTGTGAAATCCATTACTCAAGAGACTACTTTGGATGATTTTTTGCATACGGCAGATTTGTCCAACAGAGACTTTGCAGCTCGTAATGCACATATGTTTCATATATTTGTGCAGAGAAAGTGAATGTTAGAGTTTTATCTAAGGCCGAGATCGTTGGCATAATAACTCCGGAGGAGAGGGCAAGGCGCAAAGTTTTAATGCAGCAAAATAAAAGCGCCCTAACCGTCCTCAAAAGGTTTGAACATTTGCTTTATCGATGGGCTATACATTTGAATGTAGACCAAAAATTAATCGGAACATGACAAAAGAAGAAATAGCTAATGCCGAACAGGGAGCTTACTTATCTTGGCGTCGGGATCTCGCAAGGTAGGTTTAGTGGCTAATTTTAATCAATCGGTGGGGCGTAACTTGTAGTGGGTTTTTCCTCTTAGGCTGGAACAGCTAGATGGGATTGTGATAACTCCTTACGAGCGCAACTTGGAATTTTGGCGGCAGCTGTGGCAAGTCGTGGAACGAAGCGACGTCCTGGTTCAGGTTGTCGACGCTCGGCAGCCTCTTCTTTTCTTCTCTACCAGTCTTAATGACTATATCAGAGAGGTCGACTCCCATAAGGGAACCGTAGTCCTCATAAATAAGTCTGACTTTTTAACACGTAATCAAAGGTGTGTCTGACGCCTTTGTGTAGTGTGTGTTACTATGTCCTTGTGATAAATGTATATATATTTCTAAATAGGGACGCTTGGGCGAAATACTTTGACTCTGTCGGCGTTCGTGTTCTGTTTTTCTCTGCACTCAATAGCCAAAGTCAACTTTCCGTTCAAAGTATCAGGGAAGGCCACGGCCCTTCCAGCATTCCGGAAGAAACCAAAGAAGAACTAGAAGCCGAAATATTGCAAGATTCTCTTAGTGTTGACGAAATGTGTAAAGATTTTGATGAATCGAGTTTGACTTCATCCGAAACCTCGACAATGCACGGTGAGAGTGAGGAGGAGGGCGGAGGGGAGGCTTCAAGTGAGTCGTACAGTAGGTGAGCCTTGATTTTAGTATTTGTATTTTCTGTTTACTAGTGAGAGAACAGTGCTACTCTTTAGATCAAGAATATCCTGCACCTATTTTACCATTTAAATTCAACCAATCTATTTGTAACACGATTTTGCCCAACCAATTACTGCAAAGTGCAAAATGTGGTGCTGGTTGTGGATGTGTTAGTTCAGATCATAGGCTTTATTTGGGGCGTTACTTCATTGTTCAGTGCGGCTGACGTCTTGAAAGAGAAAATTGAGGTGGTCAATGGTTGCGATGTCCTGTCAGTGCATGAGCTGATAGATGAATTGACTCACCTGGGGACGAGACATGGGGATTTCCCCTACCTCACGGTGGGATTCCTGGGCTATCCCAACGTGGGTAAGTCGAGTACACTCAATGCCCTGTGTGGCGCAAAGAAGACCCCGGTTTCGGCAACTCCTGGCAAAACGAAGCACTTTCAGGTGAGTTCTCAGGCCTTTACATACTTTTGCATCCTGTTCTGATTTCTCGCCTCGAGCCTTTTTTCGCACCCAGACTATATTCCTTCAACCAGATTTGCAACTCTGTGACTGCCCAGGTATGGTAATGCCCTCCTTCGTCTACACTCAAGAAGACCTAGTCGTTGCTGGCATCCTTCCTATTGATGAAATGCGAGATTGCATTCCCCCGATTCGTGTCGTAAGTCTCGTACCTATTCTTAATTATTTGAGGTTAGTTTTACATAAATTAAAATTGGAAACTATACTAATCGTGTTTTCAACTGTTTTTATAGTTTACTTGAAATAGCATGTTTTAAAAATGGAATTGACTATTTTGCAGTTGGGCTTACTGTTAATAACATTAGTTCTGTATTTCAAAGTAATGAAGTCAAGTAAATAACACTCAGCATTCCAGGCTTTATAGCTGTTACGAAGCCTGCTTATTCCTCATTTACCAATAACACTATGAGTCGAATCAAATCGGCCGACTTCAGTTATCGCGAACAAGTTTAATCATCACTAAAAGTGGGATGGAACCCGTGGGAGTTTTTCAGTCCCGAACTTTTGAGTCCTTCCACAGATATGCGAACAAATTCCACGAGAGGTGCTCACCGCCCTCTACGGTATCTCTATTCGTCCGCCGAAGGAGTTCGAGGATCCCAACCGACCACCGACGCCTCATGAGTTGCTTGCCGCCTACGCATGTATGTCATGCTCGTGCATTTTCTCTTACAAATATGCATCCTGTAGTGTTACAGTGCCTCGTTGTTTCATTTTCCATAATAAAAACCACTTTGTAATCTCTTCACCTAAGTCTTTAATAACATCGCAATAGTTCCCCATTTTGATTCATACTGCTACGAAATAGTGTCACTTTACCGGCTAAAGTGCTATTTCACGGTTCTCTTAAATCTAAATGTAATTATTATTTTGTTGA